AACTGAGTCTTAGTAGTAAGAAGCCCCAGGCTCCTTACTGGTGAGCAGCAGGGAGGGATTGGAGCCCAGGGCGGCAGCTTGCAGACTAGGGCTCTGTTGTTCATTCCTGTTTATTTGGACACAGCTGTAAGGAGAAGCAATGCTAGGGGCTAGGGATGCAGCTCAGAGATACAGCACTTGCCTGGCCTGTGCAAGGCCAAGTTCAGTCCCCAGTACAACAGGAAAGAGGAGGAGGAGGAGGAGGAGGAGGAGGAGGAGGAGGAGTGCTGCTGGTTTCATCTTCTAAAAATACTCTCCAGTAGAAACATAGAGAGACATTCATTTTATTAGTCCTGGGATAAAATGATTAACAAGTTTCAGAGCAAACCTCCCATCAGCTTTGATTCAGGCTGGCTCACAGAGATTATGGCCACCACGGATCTCTGTCTTACCAGAAGTCCCAGGACAAAATTCCACCTTCTTAGAGGTCCTATGAATGAACTTCGGTGGAATGTGGGCCTTGCTTATTATTCAGAATTTGCTCATTCTCTTATCTACCCCACCCAGCAAAGGGAGTGGTGGAAAAGACCCCGTATCACAATCTGGTGGACACTGAAAGAATTTAGAGTTCCTTGTAGGGACAGAAGTGACTATTTATATAACAAATTGACAGTAATACTTAATTCATTCCTATGGCCCGTTGTACCAAACAGAAAGCGGTGGTAGCATGTTGAGGCTCAGCCCTGTGCTTAACATAAAAGCTTTGTGCTCCTGTCTCCTGCCTGATGGAGGTGAGCCAAGCTGCCAAATTGAGACCAGGCCCTAGCTACATGGGGGAGTTCCAGGATTGCTCTTTTCCTCCACCTCTTTGCTTTGTTTTAGAAGTTTTGAAGTGTTGTTAGAGAACTCAACGCCTGGCCTGGGTGAAGGCTCTTCTGGCCTAAAAACCCAGTTAATAGAATCCGTGTCCTACTTTAAGACTCCAGGGCTATCATCAGAAGTGCTGTGGCAGCCTCAGGAGCTGCTATAACCCTCAGTTCCCATCAGGGTGATGGGAGCTGAGGTTTGTAGGTATTGAACCCACTTTTTTTTTTTTTTTAAATATGTTTTAGTTGTAGATGGACACAATACCTTTATTTATTTATTTTTGTGTGGTGCTAAGGATCAAATCCAGGGCCTCACACATGCTAGGGCAAGTGCTTTACCACTGAGCCACAACCCCAGCCCTTGAGCCCACTTTTTAAGAGCACTGTGGCCATAGAACCCAAGCTGTGGGGTTGGGCCTCACAGAGGGAGCCTGTTTTCAGGGTTCAGAGTGTTCAGTGTTCGGGGGATCAGTTGTAGATGGGTCAAGGCCAGCCCTTCTGTATGGCCATCCTATGAATGTGCATGTACCCAGCTTGTGCCTTGCCAGACCCACACCTGGCCGGCATCCGAGCCCTGCTTCCTGCCCATCTCCTGGAGTACAAGGGCTGCAGCCAGGGTGGTGTTCAGCCTCTTCATAGTTGAGAAAATAAGGTCCAGGGAGGGATCGCTGGCTGTTCACTTCACAGGTGGTTTTGGGTGGAACAAGACCTAGAACCAACTGCAGTCTCTTTCCCATCTCCTGGCTGTCCCCTTAGTGCCAGGTACTTGTTACAAACAATTAGTCATGCAAACGTGACCTTAAGCAGATAAGCCCAACAGCTTGCCTGGGCTCCAAACCTGACCCCAGGCTTTCTCTAATAATAATGTCTTGTTTTTAACAGGACAAAATTTTGGCTTGTCTGAGGTATTTTTTTTCCTGCTTTCAATCCCAGCCATCTCATGGAGTTATTTGTTGCCCTAAGACAAGCCTCAGAAGATTTTAATGCAATATTCAGGCAAGGGGAAAGAATTAACTAATTCATTTTATAAATTAATGTGGTGAGATAAGCAGTGGAAGGCCCTGGAGCGCTTATTTTCTAATTAGATTTTGTGTATATTCCTGATGTCCTTTTACCTAAAGATAAGGATAATGAGCTGAGCTGCAGGCAGGTCTCGGTGATGATGGGCAGTCATCAGCTTGGTGACTGTGATTGCACCCCAGTCCCTGTCATGTGATCACCCAGCGCCCCCATACCCCACCCCTTAGAAGGTGGCTTCTCCCCATTGATGTCAGGTTGGAGCAGGGGATGAGTCATATCTGAAGGATGCTAGTGTAACCAAGAGACTGTCTCTAGAATTGTGCTTGAACTTGAGAACACCTCTTAATGGACTAAACAGATATTTTAGTCATATTCTGGAGAATTATAATATTACACTTTGGGGGGGGTGTTCTTTTTTTTTTTTTAACTTGATTGTGATGCAAATGCAGTGGGCACTATAGGTCTCCAGGCAGTGCTTTTTACTTAGAAAAATCAGTCATTTGCTACTGGACTCTAGCAATGCCGGGTGTGGGGCCCTCAGGCAGTGGTGTGAGCACTCCAGCACAGGCCTTGCTGTGGGTGCGAGTGTCACTTTTGGTTTAATTTTATTCTTTCAGGTGGAATTGCTGATTGTTCTGTGAAGTTGGTGTGATTTTTCAGTCACCTAAAGCAATAGTTTTCTAAACAAAACCCTACCAGAGTGGAGGGGGCGCCTGGAACTTCTTCCTGAAGCAAAATTTGCATTTTATTAAGCAACATTAGTGGGCCATTAATTCTCCCAGGTCCAGGAGCCATGGACCTCAGGACTGTAAAGAAAAGCAGCCCCAGCCGCCCTTCTCCTTTAGCCTTTGCGTTTGTGCCTGATGGCTTAGTCATTTTCCAGTCTTCTACTCAGGGTTCTAGGAAAATGTGCAGTTTGATAGATTTTTACACAGGGGTGCACTTATTTACCACCACCCAGAAAAAGAGAATATTTCTATCACCTCAAGATAAAGAGTCTAGAAAGCTAGAACCCTCCCAGCCACTAACATCTCCTCCAGAGGTTACTGGGGGTGAGGTTTTTTGTTTCACTGTTAGAGAAGCAGTGGGCCCAGTCACCTAGCAAAGACCACATCAGAGGACTTGGGTGGGCTTCTGATTTCGGCTGGAAGGAAAGCTGCTCCATTTAGTGGACAGACTGCCCAAAAGGACTGTTAGGACTCAACACTGAGTAGCGAAGGATTCCTGCAGCACCTCTCGGTGACTCTCTATGGTGCCCGTCTCATAGCAAGAACCAGCTTCTGAATGTGAGGTCTGGATGCTGTCCCTGCTCTTGGGTGACCTGGGAGTTAAGCAGGCTAAAATAATGTTCCTGCCCTAGCACGTGGTCATTCTAATCTGAGAGTGCCAAGTGCCTGTCTGCCTATATCCCCAAGGACACAGTGACAACCCTTGCCTTTCCTGTGTTTTGGAGGCCCTCCCTGGGGCAAGGTCTCAGCAGGAGAGAAGCAGTTGATGGGCTTGAAAGGGCTAAATCCCAGGGCCAGCCACCTGGTGTCCAAGCCTCTACATAAATAGAAACATCATGGAAACGTTGCAGAATTAATGGTCTCTTCCCTCAAAGCATACATCAGCCTTCAGGATCTGTTCTTGCTTTTGACCAACTCTGAGCAATAGAAAATATACCCCGAAAGCTCATAGGTTTTTAGTCTTCTGCCTGTTTGCCATTCAGAGAGCTGCTTCCTTAAGCAAGGCCCTCTCTCCTTAATACCTGACCTACTCGGATATGTACATGTGACACACATCAGTGGCTCCCCTCCTCTGGAGAAGGTTCTTCATGCCTGGGAGATGGTTGGTAGCTGTGTTACGCAGCCTCTGCTTGGTGAGAGGTGGCATCACCCAGTGAGTGGCTGCCCAGCCTTGTTGTCTGAAATAAGATCTTTCTCTGTGGTACATCTGGAACTTGGCCTTCTCAAGGGTCCCAAAATAGCCAAGCCACTGAAGAGAGAACTTCATGAGAGGACAGAAGAGAGGGACCCCAACTCTCCTAGTTCAAGTAGGCCTTGTTCTGTTAAAGAAAAAAATTATTCTGTGATACTTGTTAAAGCATGGTAAGGAAAACTTTATTGCAGACCACTGGGCTAGGAGTAGGGATCACTGCAATGGAGTTCTGCAGGTGGGGGGCAGATGAGCCCGACTCCCAGCACCGCATGGGCAAGTGGGGACTTTATAGCCAAGGAGCAGTGTGAGGGTCACTGGATGGAAGATGACTAAAAAGAAAGAAACATCGAGGCCTAAGAGAGATTCTGGCTTACATTCTACTAACCTGTGACAGCGTTCTTGCTACAGACGTCCAGGTGATCAGAAATCACCTGGGGATGATGGAGACAGGAACCTCATCAGATAATGAGATGAACAGACGTGGAGGAGGGGGTTTGGTAACCATGTATAGAGAGTTCTTTTGCTAAAACTAGATTTTACAAGTGCACAGATGGGCCTGGGAGAAGGTTCAGGAGTCTGACTAAAGCTTGGCTAGGCAAAGCCTGTCCGTTGGCATCATAAGACTAGCACAATTAATCCCTGGGTTTCACTCCCTCTCTGTGCTGTTTGTGATCTTGAGTGCCTCCCTTGTAGCTTGTACTAACAGCATTTCTGAAGAGGCAGCACCACTACCGCCACCCTACTTCTCTCTGAAAGTTTCTAAACTGTGTCTGTGTTTGGGTCCAGTATAAACCTGGTACAGCTGGGAAACTTGGACCTTTTTTGGAAGCTGAGAGTCTTGCTGTAATTTGGTAGTTGGAGATGAGTCTTGTTCCTGGGAGATCACCTTCCTATCTGAAGGTTTAGGGGACAGTCAAGCTCTCCTGCATATACTGCCTCCCCATTGTTACCCAGAAAAGAAACCTGTCTTACCAGTTTGGGAAATTGGTGCTTCCCTTGTGCTCAGCAGTTACCTTGGCTCCTCTGCTTTCGCCTGGCCACACAGCAGCCTCTGAAGGAGAGGGGATGTTCAACAGAAGCAGGGGACCGTGGAGCAGCCAGACTCCCTGGCTGAGCTGGGGACCCAAGTCGAGAGAGGGCTCTGTACCAATTTCCTCTTCAGGGGTATTTTCTTTCTGTTTTCTCATGAGTCTGTTTCTCTTCTGTTCATTCTAGGAAACATCGTCCTCTGCCAATGGCCCTTCCCGGGAGGGCTCCAGGCTACTTCCCACAAGGGAAGGCCACCCTGTGTACCCCCAGCTCCGACCAGGCTACATTCCCATTCCCGTCCTCCACGAAGGGGCTGAGAACCGGCAGACATACCCTTTCCATGCCTATCCCCAGCCTGGGGCTCAGCGATTCAGAACTGAGGCAGCCGCAGCTGCCCCTCAGAGGTCCCAGTCACCTCTTCGGAGCATGCCAGAAGCCACCCAGCCAGACAAACAGTGTGGACAAGTGGCAGCAGCTGCAGCAGCTCAGCCCCCAGCCTCCCATGGACCTGAGGTAAGGAGAGGCCTGCCCCCCCCCCCCGCCCCCCGCCTGGGCCAGGCACTTTTAATGGGCAGGCATTAGGGCCTGGTCTATAGTATCAGCAGCCCCCCAAGCAAAGATGGTTGCGGACCCCAGTCCCCCCAGCATTTCACAGGTGTTTTTTTAGGTGCCCAGGGCAGGAGTCTCGTGACTTATTTTTGTAATTAAGGAATGGGACCAAGATGGTGAACTATAAACTGCTTGGTCCAAATGCGTAAAGGAGAGAGCAGCCGAGCTGATACCCTGAAGACTGGCCTCCTGGCTCCTAATTCTGATGTACCTTATTTACACTGGGCTTCTCTGTTTCAGAAAGAGCTATGTATTATTTTGGTCTAGTTCAGTACTTATGGATAAATATCAACAGCTCAGAACTATGTAGAGAATGAAAACAGGACTGCGTACCTGTCCCCAGAGCATCCTGCAGTGTACAAGGAAAGCCAGATAAGGAATGAGAAAGGCAGCAGCCCAAAGATAGGTTCAGCCCAGAGCCCTTCACTTCAGGGTATGTTGGTGGATTCAGGGCAACAACAGCTGAAGAATAGTTGTCAATCTAATCCTTGGTGGGGATTTGTGGGCCAGTGGACCTAGTAGGCTTCCTGAGCACTAGGCCCTTTTTGTCTTTTGACTGCAGATCATCCCCTTGTGTCCACTGGCACTGTTCTTGAGCACAAATCCTCACTTCCTGTCTGTACCCAGAGTCATGATGGCCTCTGAGCTCTGTTCAGCTCTACCACCTGCATGGGGGTAAAAAGTCATAGTTAGTGGGGGGTCCCAGGAGGTTCTTTCTTTCCTTGGAGAGGAAACACCTATGTGTGCAATGTGTTTGCTGTAAAAATCAAAGCGACACATCAGAGAAACCTTGGCAAATTTAAGCTAATAAGGCCCTTAGAGACCAACGCAGGGAAAAGGCCTCCTCATTTTCTAGATGAATAGAAGGTGGCCCAGAAGAGAAAGGGGCCTGGCTTGCCCCAGGCCTCACAGGGGACACATGAAGCTCCCAGATGTCACCCTCCCTAGATGAGTAGCGAAGGGTGGAGGAGGGCAGCCAGCACCGTGGATGGGGCACTCCTGTGCGCGCCATGTGTATGCACAGATGATTTTACTTACTGGTCAGGACAGGCCAGTGTATATATGGGGTGCTTTATCTGTATTTCAGATGATGCTGAGAAAGCTATTGAGCTAGTAAGAATTTGAACCCAGGCCCCTTTATTCCGAAGCTCTCAGTCTTAATGCTACTCTGTAGGGCTGGGGACTGCACCTAGGCCCCGTGCCTGCTGAGCACTCGGTCTTTCACTGGGCCACCTCTCAGCCCTTAACACTCCAGTTTGAAAATAGAAACATTTCTGTATGGAAAGTGTTGGGAAGTGTGTTGCTTTGAGTAGGTGCACAATGAAAGGTTGGTGTGCCAGGGCTGTGGGATCATTCCTGGGGCCACACCCTCTGCCCTTTGTCTCTTACAGCGGTCCCAGTCTCCAGCGGCCTCCGACTGCTCCTCCTCATCTTCCTCGGCCAGCCTGCCCTCCTCTGGCAGGAGCAGCCTAGGCAGCCACCAGCTGCCTCGGGGCTACATCCCCATCCCAGTGATACATGAGCAGAATGTGGCCCGGCCGGCTGCCCAGCCCTCCCTCCACCAAGCCCAGAAGACCCACTACCCGGCTCAGCAGGGTGAATACCAGACCCACCAGCCTGTGTATCACAAGATCCAGGGTGATGAATGGGAGCCCCGACCTGTGAGAGCAGCCTCCCCTTTCAGGTCACCAGTGCGGGGTGTGTCCAGCCGGGAGGGCTCGCCAGCCAGAAGCAGTACACCAGTGCACTCCCCATCGCCCATCCGTGTGCACACCGTGGTTGACAGGCCCCAGGTATGGGAAGTCGGTTCTTAGCAGGCTGCTGCGGTGGAGGCATGTCTCCATCCAGGGGCTAGGAGCTCTGTGGGTACTGTGGGCTCCCGCCTTGTTAACTTGGGCACAACAGGAGAAAAGTGAGGCTCGCTGGTCCTCAGCAGAAATGTAGGACAAGGGCTGTGGCCTCGCCGCTCTTTTCAGCTGATCATTTCCCACTCTGGCTGTCTTAGGAGACCTATGCTGTCACCCTCGTACCTGAGACCAGGTTTCTTAATGCCCACCACACCCCTGTCCATACTCTCACAGCCTGATTAGATCAGCTGTCCCCTTCTCCACTGTGCAAGCCCCTCTATACAGTCCCAGGCCCTCTCCCCACCTACTGCCTCCCAAGAGACCAGTCAATCTTGTTTTCTCTGTGGTACCTGCTCATCTTTCTGATGGTGCCTTCCATGAGCCCTTTATGGTATATCAGGTGATTATTCTTTGCCTTTTTCTTTTTTCTTCTTCTTTTTTTCTTTTTTGTAGTTGTAAATGGACAGGAATGCCTTTGTTTATTTTTATGTGGTGCTGAGGATCGAACCCAGTGTCTCACACATGTTAGGCAAATGCTCTGCCACTGAGCTACAGCCCCAACCCTATTCTGTGCCTTTTAAAGTGTTCATCTTCTGTGTAAGCTCTGAGCCTTATGACAGGAACTGTGTCTGATACCTTTAGTTTTTGGTCAGGTGCTTTGGTCCCTGGCTGATGCATCAGCCAGCCGTAGTGGGTGGAAAGCCATCCTGGCCTGGTGAAGGCTCTGGACATCAACTTGCTTGTCATCTAGTGGAGCAGGGGTGTTGAGTCAGGGAGGAGGAGAAAGTCATTGAGACTGAGCAGCCTAGCAGCAGAACATCAGCAGCCAAGGTCCCTCTGGCTGCAGCTTGAGCAGCTGAATTAAAAGGAAGCTCCCTGTGAATGAATGTGAGTTATCCTTTTCCTATAAACAATGACACTGTCCAGGGCCCTGGAACGGAGAGAGCACCCTCATTTAAAAATTTTTTTTGATGTTTTTTTTCTTTAATGTGGAAATAATATCAACCTTACAGAGAAGTGTTACAAGACTCAAAAAGAAGTTCCATGTACCCTTCACACAATCAGTTAACATTTTTCTGTATTTGTTTTGTCGTTGCTTCTCTACGTACGTTAACTACATATGTTAACTGTCTGAGAGTTAGTTGCAAATGTCATCCCTCTATTCCTGAATACTTCAGCAGATATTTTTCTAAAAAAAAAAAAAGACATTGCTAGCCATAGAAGACCAGCCTGGATTCAGGGAGTTCTGCGGTAGCATCATCCAATCTCTAGAAGAGTTCCTCAGACTTTGATGCTTTGATGACCTTGACGTTTTTAAGGATCACCAGCCATAGGGCATCTTCTCCTAAGTTTTGCTGAAGTCACTAGTTACACAGACTACCACTGCCTTTAAAACCCAAAGAGGGCCATGTGGTAGGTGCGTGAGTAGTAAGGACCAAAGTTTGGCCAGAGATTCAGTCAAAAAAGGATGTTGGTGTTGAGATGGCTTCATCACATTAGATCCATAATTAGTGAAATGGTACTTAATCCTATTTTTACATTGATCATAGTGACCTCCCCATCTTTTTTTTTTTTTTTTTTGGTACTAGGAATTGAACCCAGGGGCACTTTACCACTAAGCTACATCCCTAGTCCCTTTTATTTTTTATTTTGAGGTGGTGTCTCAATAAGTTGTCCAGGCTTGCAATACTCCTGCCTCATCCTCCCAAGTTGCTGGGATTACAGGTGTGTGCCACTGTACCTGGCTATGACCTCCTTTTTTATAGCTTGTTCAAAGAATATTTTTTGGAGGCTTTCAAAAATTAATCTAACTGAACATAAAAGTAGAATTAAGATTTTAAGTTGGCAATAGTTCAGAAATAGAATAATCCAACATTTATTTCCCCATTGATGAAACTGGAGCATATGAGATTTTTAAACAGGTTTTAGATTTTCATTTATATACTAGAAGAGCCATAGTATTCCTGTTTTGAGCATCGTTCATTTTTTAAAAAATAATAGCTGTCAACTATAGTCATAAGAAAGAGTGCACAGCCTGAGTTCTGCCTGGGGAGGTACCACAACTCAGCTGAGCTTTAGGCTCTGGCACAGATGTGCTAAAGCAGGATTCTTCTAGAGTTAACTATTTTGAGTATCTTGCTTATTCTCACAAAATACCTTAGTTTGGGCAGAAACCACTAGGTTGTCATAGGTCTGAAAAAACAGAAGATCATTCCTTTCCTGGAATAGGAGATGAAAAGGTCACCCGGGAGTAGGGAGCGCATGGTAAGGAGGCAGACCAAGGCAGCCACTTCCTGTCTGCATCCTGAGTTGGTATCACTTGGGACTGTACCGTGAGCAAACCCTGCTTAGCAGTTAGCATTAGGTTTTGCTATTCTCATTTTTGAAAATTATATTGGTTTTCTTTTCCTTGCCATAAGACTTGTCACCTCCAGCGCACGTGAGGTGTAACAGACAAATAGCCCAGAGTGACTAGTGGAAGGTTGGAGAATAGTTTGGTCAGATACATGATTAATACCACGTGTTTATTTAAGCTGTTTGTTGACTTTGAAAATCTTTTATATGGTTAAACTTAACCAAGAAAAATAGTTGTTTTTTTTCTTCTAATTGATACTAGCTACAAACAACTACCTGTGACTTTTAGCCAGTTATTTTAAATACCTCTGTATCTTTTCTCTGTTTCTCAGCAGCCCATGACCCATCGAGAATCCCCACCTGTTGCCCCACCTGAAAACAAACCAGAAAGTAAGCCAGGCCCAACTGGACCGGATCTCCTTCCTGGACACATCCCAATTCAAGTGATCCGCAAGGAGGCGGATTCTAAACCTGTTACCCAGAAGCCGCCTCCTGCCTCTGAGAAGGTGGAAGTAAAGGTTCCCTCTGCTCCAATTCCTTGTCCTTCCCCTTCTCCAATTCCCAGCCCTGCCCCTTCTGCTGTCCCCTCTTCCCCCAAGAATGTGGCTGCAGAAGAGAAGGCAGCCCCCAGCCCTGCACCTACAGAAGTCACACCCCCCAAACCAGGAGAGGCTGAGGTTGCCCCAAAACATCCAGGTGTGCTTAAAGTGGAAGCCATCCTGGAGAAGGTGCAAGGGCTGGAGCAGGCCGTGGACAACTTTGAAGGCAAGAAGACTGACAAAAAGTACCTGATGATTGAAGAGTATCTGACCAAAGAGCTGCTGGCCCTGGATTCTGTGGACCCTGAAGGACGAGCTGATGTACGTCAGGCCAGGAGAGATGGTGTCAGGAAGGTTCAGACCATCTTGGAAAAACTTGAGCAGAAAGCAATCGACGTCCCAGGTCAAGTCCAGGTCTATGAATTCCAGCCCAGCAACCTTGAAACCGATCCACCACTGCAGGAGATCATGGGGGTGGGTACCACAGCAGCAGACAAGGGGAAGAAAAGTGCTGGAAATGAAGAAGCCCAAACTGCAACCCAGCAGCCAGAAGCCAAAGAAGCAGCAGCTCCAAACCCCGGCAGCACGACGGACTCAGCTGGCCCCCCAGCAGCCACACCATAGTCCCCATTAGACAAGAATCAGACTTGGAGACTTGGCACTGTTGTGTGTGCTTTAGGGAGTTTTAAGTTGCATGCATTTCAGGGACTTTAAGTCAGGTGGTTTTTATTTTTTTGTAGGTGTTCCGTACACAGTAACTTGGGTGGAGGCAAAACACTAATAAAAGGGCTAAAAGGAAAATGAAGCTTTTCTTCTGTATTCTTACTCTGTATAAATAAGAAGTTGCTTGTTTCAGAAGTTTAACCCCATCGCTTATTGTTTTGGGTCCCCACTGTGCATGGGCACCATGTGTTAACTGTGGTTGTGAGCTGTCTTTCTGTAGCTCTGAACTGAGGAGTCTTTTGGGGGGGGGTAGATGGGGAGTCGATTTCCCATCACACAAATATGAAATCCATTTTTCAGAAATGTTGCCATTGTAATGGGATGATTTTCATCTCAGAGTTCAAATATCTAACTTTTAGATAGAATAAGATGTAAGGAGCTATAGTCATATCTGTATGTTGGACAACTATAATGTTACATTTGAAAAAAGGGGAAATAAAGTAATTATATAACTCAGTTTTGTGTGTGTGATTTCTAAAACATTGTAAAGGGTGGTGGCATCAAGATTTTCTGTCCCTGGCTGTAGTCAGAATCAATGGTCGACACTCACTAGCTGGATCTGGGACTCCTAATGTCTCTACCCCTCCAACTCTTGAGAGTGTGAAGCTTGATCGCTTTTCCAGTTACACCTGGAACCTGGGAAGACCCAGGATTGTGGACTCAGGTAATGGCATGTGCCTGCCACACACTTTCAGGCCACTAGCCAATGGCTGAGGTGCCACTGGGCAGCATTTTGCCCACCTGGACTGGGGCTGCTCTCTGGCCTCCCCATGGGGCTGACCGGGATGGTTCACAAGTGCACAGGGAAGCCAGTTTCCACAATTGCCAAAGTTCTGTGGAGTCTAGGTCACGGGGATTGGAAATGTGCTCTGAGAGCCTTGGGATCATCTTTATGTCATACCTCTGAGTCACCAAACTAGACTGGGACAAGGTTTATCTTCCTTCCCAGACTGGGTTCCTAGAAACCTCTGGGGTTAGGGGCCAGATGTACTCAGGATTCACTAGGGCAGAAGATAGTTCTTTGTGTGCCATGGTCCCAGAATGTGGAGATGTGCTAGATTTTTTGAAAAGGGAGAGAAAGGCCTGAGACCTTGGAACTCAAACGAGCACGCTGACTTTAGAGTCCCTGAGCTGAATTTCTCATGACTGTACTGAGTTTAATATTGGTGCCTGACGATGCCACACAAAAATACACACTGCTGTACTTGCCACTCTTAGCTTGCTGAGGAAGGTTGAAGTCACCCTGACGAGAGTCTGCCAGCATTCCTGAATGAACTCATTTGGGGAGGGCAGGCTGACATGCCACTGGTTCTAGAAACTTGAACTTGTAAGTAGGAAAAGAAAACTCCCAGACTATTTTTAAAATGAACTAAAGACTGTGTGACCACTTCTTTTTGGGACCTGGGCATCTATTCTCAATGGACTTTGAATGCTAGTTAAGCCTCCTCAACTAGTTAATAAATTAGGCTGATAGCATTTTCATCACTAAGCATCGTAAATAGCTAGAGTATCTTCAGTTGTCCAAGTTAGAGAAAGCATGGGTATCCAGAGCCAGGTCACTTGCCAGAGTTGGTGTTCCTTGGGCCTGTGTGGGGACTGGGTACAGCTGCCAGCAAGGCTCTTACTCATGTACATGTCTTGGCCTCTGTAGAATTGGGGGCCAAAACCTACTGAGAATCTACCAATGATGAGGGAGTTTGGCCTTGCTTATCCATCCAAGTACCCTTTAGAGAAGCAGTTAAGAGCACAAATGAATCAGAACCGGGCTCGAACCACAGCTTCACGTATGATAATCTTTGAGAGAGAAGTTTCAGATCCCTTTTCTTCTTGGATTCCTCATTTGTAAAACGGAGATAAATGATTAAATGAATTCAGAAATGCAAAGACCTGAAAGTGGGGCCTGGCAGAAGACAAGAGTTGACTTATTATCACCCCCATTTAACAGGTGAGAAACAGGAAGTGATGTGCTCACTTCACACCCAAGAGCAGAGACCGGATTTAAGTCCCGATCCACAAGGCATCGAAGGCCACCTTAGTCTCACCACAGTGCTCTGTAATCCTTAGTGCCCAGTGGGCTGCAGTGGCCAGGAGGGCCAGGACTATTAAAGTACCACAGAAATGTGAGAATAACCTCTTACCTCTTCCAAGCCTAGAGAGCATCTTTACATCCATTTCAAAATCCCACAGGGTTCTAACACATGAAGCAAATGACTTTGGGTTACTACAGATGGCCCCCAACTTTCAACTTTCTTTGACTTAGGATGGTCCAAAAGTGATACATGTTCAAGGAGACACCACACTTCAGTTCTGATCTTTTCCTGAGCTAGTAATCGGTGATACGGACGTCAAACCTGCTGCCGGGCAGGGCAGTGAGCGGCAGCTCCCCGCTGAGGGACACCACTGCTGCTCCACAGTGTGTTGTGCTGTGTCTGGTAGGTCAGGTGTGGTAGATGCATTTTCAATTTGTGGTCTTCTTTTTTTTGTTGGGGGGTGCCAGAGATTGAACTTGGGCACTTGACACTGAGCCACCTCCCCAGCCCTATTTTGTATTTGATTTAGATGCAGGATCTCACTGAGTTGCTCTGCGCCTTGCTGAGGTTGGTTTTGAACTCATGATCCTCCTGCCTTAGCCTCCTGAGCCGCTGGGATTATAGGCATGCACCACCACGCCCAGCTCTTCATGGTCTTTTCAGTGTGATAGGTTTCTTGGGATGTAACCTGTTCTAAGTTGAGCATCCATAAGTGGTGGTGTCTACACTTAAAGCCCCATGCAGCCTGGATCCCCGGGCTTGGTTGCCAAGCTTTCTGCTGTGCCCTCTTCCTCCCTCCTCAATGCCGACCCCTTCCTCCAGCCCATTCCCACCAGTGATACCTGATGCCCTCCCTCCTTCCAGATTTTGCCCACCCTGAGATCTTGCAAACCCCTTCCTTGTTTGGACCTTCTGTTCCCTTTCAGAATTTGCCAAAATGCCCAGTGCCCTTTGGCCTATTTGCCAGCCTCCATTGTTTTCTCGATGCTTAAATGTCTTAGCCATTTCCTTGGCAAGACTGTAAGTGCCTGAGGGGCAGCAGGTCTGTCCTGACACCATATTCCCACAGTGTTGTCCAGACCTGGGGACATGGGTGCCCTGGATTCCCAGTGGGCTCTTTAAAGTCCCTTTGAGGGGCTGGGAATATAGCTCAGTGGTGGACTCCTGTTTAGCATCCCCACCACCACCCAAAAAAGGAAGAAAATAGTCCCTTTGATTCAAGATCTTATGATTCCAAGACTAAACAGATGTTTCTTCAGGAGATGGAAGTTAGGGCCAGCACTCCCTCCAGCTTCCTCTGGTAATCTCCTCCCTCCAGGCCTCTTCCCTGCCCCCCCACCCACCTCCACCATCTGTGAAAGGTGGGCTTCTCCACCTGGTCTGGGTGCTCTCAGGATTCTGCCAAGTGCACTCCTGTTACTGTGTGGTCTCTGTCCTTGGTATTTCTCCTCCAGCCAGCCAGGAAGCCGGGCCTGGGACTCCTCTGTGGGCTGTGCATTCCTGCAAACCCCCATGCGAGTGCGGCCTTCCTCTCGCTGCTCTGTAACCTTATACAAATGTGATCAGATGCCAACGGTCAGGATCCAGGGCTGCAGTTATTTTGGGATGTGCAGGAGCCTGTGGGAAAATGCTGGAACATGTCTTAGTCACTCAGGCAAATACCTCTCTTTCCGTGTTGCTGCATGTTTTGGGCTTTCTGGCCATACAGAAAGAGCCCCAGCAGGCACACACACCCTCTGCGGTCAGAGGGCCCTTCCTGAGTCTCTCCCTCTGTGGGCCACATCCTCCCTGCTGAGCGTGAAGGGGGAGAGCAGGGCTGGATTTAGCCCTTCAAGGCCCTAAACGTGGAAAAAATCGTGGCACCTCCCCCACACATAACTCAAACCAAAAATGTATTAATCCACAGGAGAAGCATAAAGAGGATCTGAAACTCCCATGTTACACTTTGTGCTTTTTTTTTTTTTTTAATTAAAGATTAAATCTCTCTAGTTATGTGTGTGCATGCTTGGGTGTGTCTCTGCTTTCTTGATCCTCTAAGCTGTGGTCCAGCGCTGCCCAGTAAGAACTAAGGGGACACCAGATGCAGTGGCGCATGCCTGTAATCCCAGCTGCTCTGGAGGCTGAGGCCAGAGGATTGCAAGTTTAAAGTCAGCCTCAGCTACTTAGTGAAAACTTGTCTCAAAATAAAACATAAAAAACACGGGGATGTGGCTCAGTAGTTAAGGGTACCGGGGTTCATTTCCTGGTACCCAAAAAAATTTTTTTTAGATACTTTTATTTTGTTTATTTGTTTTTATGTGGTGCTGAGGATTGAACCCAGTGCCTCACATGTGCCAGGGCAAGTGCACTTCCACTGAGCCACAACCCCAGTCCTCTGGTACCAAACCAAACCAAACACAAAACAAAACAAAACACCAACCTAGTGGGAACCAAGAAGAGTTATGTAAGCCCCAGGGAAGGATGCTGAGCAGGGTGAGGGACAGGTGAGGGACAGGATCACAGAAGAGGGCAGCAGAAGCCAGCCATGTTCCTCATGTTCCCAAGAGTTCCCCAGCTTCCTCCTGCCAGACCCCGGTCACCTCTGGATCTTTGTTTCTGGTTCCCTGAGCACCAACCTTACGTGCTCAGTTGCCTCCAGGGTACCCAGGAAGGGGAGAGCTTGTCTGATGCCCTCCAGGCACCTAGAATTCAAATCCCAAGATTCCTTCCGTTCCCGACCACTGAGTCTGCTCTGCCAGCACAAGCCTTCCAAGGGTGCCATCTCAGAGGCCCCAGCCGGTGGGACACGCACCCTGTGTCGTAAGAGTTTTCCACTTTTCAAGAAAGGCCAGAAATCTGTTCCTGTGAAATCTCTCCTTTTTAAAAAATATTTTTAATATTTTAAAATATCAGACCCAACAAAACCCATCTGCAGGCCAGATTTGGCCTTGGGGCTGCCAATGAGCAAGTTCCAAGTCCCACTGTGCTGTAAATATTTAGTTCTGTCTCCACTTGCTCCTGGCTTTTCCTCTGCCCCATGAGTGTTGAGGGCGAGGACTGTGACTTGGGTTTCCTGGACTTTGACCACCCAACTTGAGGTGGAGAAATGTCAGCAGGCAGAGGGAGCATGGCTGCCAGCTCCCCACCCTCCATCTTGCTGAAACCCTTTTAATTCCCCACCCCCACCCAAGGCTTACCCGTCACTCAGCTCTTGCTAACAGCTCCCCGGAGCGTCAAGTTCCAAGTCCCTAGCCCCCACTCCCTTGTTCAGCTGGTGGCCTCCAGGATGGGGCCAGTGTCAGTGAAAAGGTTCAGATCTCACACTTGTCTTGACTGGGCATCCTCATTCATCCCTGGGGGGTTTAAAGGTGGAGGTAGAGTGGACTTCTCAATAACCTATGACCTTAGGCATTTGCAACTTTTAAGGCTTCCATTTTTGCCTTATTAACTGTGACAATATGAGTCCCTAGCTCCACATTTAATCTTGAGGACAATAACTTCCCCAAATATTCAGTGACTAAGAGTGTTGTTGCTACCATTCTCCCCTCACATGACACAGTGACCAGGAAAATGGGGCCAGAAAAAAAAAAAACAAGGTCTTGGTCCTTTAACTTCCAACCTCAAGCTGGTGTCCAGACAGTTCGGGTGAGAGGCCATCAGACTTCACTCCATTTCTTCTCTCCCTGCCATTGCTACCCATCTCTGCTACCTCCCTGCTCGAATCTAGATAACATCTTTTCTTTCTTTTAATTTGCAGATGGACACAATACCTTTATTTTATTTATTTTTTGAATGTGGTGCTGAGGATCAGACCCAGTGCCTCACACATGTTTAGCAAGCGCTCTACCACCGAGCCATAACCCCAGCTCCTGGATAACATCTTTTTACAGCATGGTGCAGGTAGGACACAGAAGACCCCTTTAAAGGACCTGCATCAGTGGGGTTTATGGCCATGATCTCTGAGCCGTGGAGCCCAGGAACACCCAGCCAGTTCTGGAAGGGAGCAGGAGCTGAGAAGGGCACAACCTGAGGGGCCAATGTTCCGCCAGAGCCTGGCCCTCCAGCTCTTCCTGAATCTGCACTTCTCTGTCCACTGGTAACTAGGATGTGGGACCAGGGCACAGGGTGCCATTGGGCAGGCACTCAGGGTGGCCATCACTGGCCTCAACTTCAGCAAAGGGAAACCAGGAAGCCGTGTAGCTTCCACAATGCGATATAGAAATAGGGGCTACAAGCACTGACTGTTGATGCCTGATAGTGGGGGCCCGACATGGGGTCACCCTCCAGGCCTCTCAACATTATGTACATGGAAAGGGGACTGAGAAGGACAGTCCAATCCTAAAAACAAGGACAAATGCTGCCCTTTACACATTTCCAATTTAAGGACATTTGATCTCAGGTGGCAGGTTTGGGCTGGCCAGAGAGAGCAGAGGGCCTTAAAGGCACATATGCTCAGCCTCACAGAACCCCGGATGCCCTGTGCCTCCCGCCCCTCTCCAACTGTGACAGGAAGGGTGTAATAATATCACGGCACCCGTGCTCAAACTTCCAGCAGAAAGGACTAGGTTGGAATCAGTCCTGTAGAAATCATCGTGGGCAAGCTCCAGGAATGTCTACACTGGCTCTCCATGAGCTCCAGCCTCTAGGAACGGCTTAGCTTCAGATGACCACTGCAGCATGGGACTCCAGGAACCAGTGCCGCCAGCTCTTAGGTTTGAAGGCAGTTGATGTTGGTTTATTCTGTTCTGGAGGACAAGGGTATATTTTAGCCTGCTTGCAGCTGTGTGAGGCAGAGCATTTCAGAAGGTCATAGAAAAATCTTTAGAGACAGTGGTGACCACATTGGTAGCTGTGCGATCACACCACCTCAGCTGAACTTCTTGTTGCCTACCTCCTTCAGACAGTCTCTCCCTGGAGAAAGCATCTGTGTATGTGGACCTTCTACTTATACTGGCTCCCCGTGGCTGCAGTGGTCTTTCTTCATATAGATACCTTTTAACTTGGTTTTCCACAGTTCTGTCTCATCCTCATATAAATGTATATTTTAAAAACATCGATCCTATGGAGATACAGTTCACCTACCACACAATGAACCACTTAAAGAGTATGATTTGCCAGTTGTGGTGGTGCACGCTTGTAATCCCAGCAACTCTGGAGGCTGAGGCAGGAAGATCACAAGTTCAAGGCCCGTCTCAGCACTTAGTGAGGCCTTGTCTCAAAATAAATAATATAAAAGGACTGCGAATATAGCTCAGTCATAAATAATAATAATAACAATAATAATAGTAGTGGTAAAGTGTACAATTCAGTGGTTGGTAGCATTTCACAGAATTCTGAAATCTTCACCACAATAATAGAACATTTTTATCACCTTCAAAATGAATTCATCCAGGTAACCTACCCTTTACCTCCAGCCCCTGGACAACTGCTAATCTATTTTCTATCTACAGATTTGCCTATTCTGGGTATTTATTGTTCTTTTAGGGAAAAAATTATTAACTGTCCACCAATAAGTAGTGAAAATTTTGTGTTGTGGATTCAGCAATGAACAGGTCAGGGATAAATACATCCATCCCCTACTTCCTAAAATTATTAGTGATGATGTCTTTCAAGTAACTGTTGTAAGTATTAATAATTATTTTTAAAAAGCCTCACAATAGGTCAGACTGATCTACTCCCACAAAAGGAAAATCTACCCCCAAAATTTAAAATATTTTTATGCTGAGTTGCCAAAACTAGAGAAGATAGTCAGATATCAGAGCAGTTAAACAGAAAGATCGTTTTAATCTAAACCATGGTTCACATGGTCATGGCTAAGCACTGCATTATCCTAAGAAAGCAAAATACTATACCCATCTAAAACAAATATCCAACAATTTACTTCTTTGGGCTTAACATTCAAATACCTGACTTGAAGGTTTATTGCAAAATCCGGTATGTGATGAATTAATGTCAAATTACCTTAAAGCATACAAAGGAGTATACAAAGGAAATAAATAAATGACTCATGTAACACATCTGATTGTAATACATCTGTGATTGGCTTCTTTCGTTTAACTCTCAATTTCAAGGTTCATATATATATATATATTGTAACATGTTCAGTCCCTCCTTTGTTTTGATTGATAAATAATAGCTATTGTATAATATACTATAGTTTATTTAGCCATCCTTCTATTGGTAGGTAATGTAGGTTGCTTTCACCTTTTGGCTACTGTGAATAATGCTGCTATGAACTTTCATGTTTTTGGATGGGCATATGTTTTTGCTTCTCTGGGATAAATATATATGAATGGAATTTCTGGGTCACTCTTGGGACTCTAAATGAGGCAAGAGAACTGGTAGCTAGTTTGATATGCTTCAACCAACACATATAGTCAGGGCCTCTAATTATTCTAGTGAATTGCTAGAACTCCTACATGTCCTTATTAGCAAGAAGTCTAGTGCCTCCATCCGAAGAATTCTTCCTTCCTCCCTGAGTTGACCAAGGACCCAGAGCTCACTCTGTCAGGTCCGTGGGAGTCAATCCTGCTGCAGGTGCCAGCCAGAGAGAGGTTCGTCCACCAGCGGTGCTGTGGAAGCACTCAGTGTTGCAACTGAAATCTGGCCCTTCCTTTCTTCTTTCTTGTCTTTCTGAACCGCAGGCTCAGGCTCTGTACAAGTGAAGGTGTTCAGAGACCAGGTCTGGATCCCTTAGGCCACCATCTGGGGCCACATTCCAGGCTCCAGTTCAAAGCTCTTTTGGACCACAATGGTACATTGGGCAGTTGGATCCAGAACTTCTTCCTCGGCCATGCCATACGCTGGAACCAGCATGTACTCCCCAGGAAGACTGAGGCAGAGACTTGAGCCAGGCGTAGTAAACATAACCTTTCCGGTTCATCAGGATGCAAACTCGCACACCTATGAGTATAAGCAAATAAAAACTTTACTTAGTCTAGAATATGGCTGCTGAGAGAGGGTAGAGAGTGTGCAGAATGCGTTCTGCTAACAGAGGAGCTTGCAAATCCTCGGTACTTGACAAGTGGAAAACCCAGGAAGGGCCCCGAGAAGCTCCCTCCGGATGCACATGACTTTCCCTTTCCTCCCAGGTGTGACACAAAGGAGGTGCTTACCTCCATAACAGGACCCTTCAGAACATCTTCAACTGTCCAGAGCCTGAGCCAACTGTACAGAATACAGCTGAATGCAGCCAACTAACCTTTACCTGTGGGCTTCAGGTATGTCCTCCCATGAACTCCCATTAACTCCTGTCCTCTCCCACCCCAAGACCACACCCCTGCTCTCGGGTCCAGACTTCCCTTGTAGTTTCCCTTGGGGCTGTTGGTGATGATCTTTCTTCCATTCCAATAAGTTCTCCTTTCTTGGAATTCCAAGAACAAAGGCCGGGATCCTGAGACTTTGCCCCAGGAGCTTCTGAACTGTTTATCTCCCTTCTCCCTGGCAACCAGCTTTGCTTGTCAAGAGGCCTTAGGAACACCGAGCTTCATCAACCTGTTAAAAATTTTATGCCACTTTCTACTCAGAGCAACGAGTATCCACTTGTCCAATGTTTTCACAACTAAAAGAATCACACAACGGCTCTTGTCTGAATAATGGAAGTCCTAAGACGACTTTGTCTGCACCCTTTGACAGAAGCAGTTGACAGTAGATGCCCAATGACAAGGAAAATGTGGGGAGATTATTTTGACTAATTATTGGGTCACAAACTCTTCCTGACAAAAAAGATAATATATATAGAGATAATTTATATATAAAATAATTTATATTATATATATTATACGCGCGCACACACACATACATACACACAGACACGCACTTCAGGATTTAAAACTCCTAAAAACATGGTAACTCTTCCATTTTAATGTCTTTTCTTCCATGCTAAGCATCAAATCCAGGGCCTTGCGGTGCTAGGCAAGTGCTCCACCTCCAAGCTATATCCCAACCCTCCATTTTTATGTTTTGTTCATTGTATTTCACATTAGCGATCAAGATATCAGAAGATGTATAGTTTAAAAATAAAATGACATTTTTATAATCATTACATGGACAAGTTTTCCTTCCTTCCTTCCTTCCTTTCTTTCTTTCTCTTTGTCTTTCCTTTTGGTACTGAGCTACATTCCTGGCCTTTTTCATTTTTTATTTTGAGACAAGTTCTTGCTAAATTGCCCAGATTAGCCTTGAATTTGTAATCCTCCTGCCTCAGGACACTGGGATTACAGGTGTGCGCCACTGCAACTGTTTGTATGCACAGTTTTGGGTTTCTTTTTTTCTTTTTCTTTTTTGTAGATGACCCAATATCTTTATTTTTATTTATTTATTTTTTTGTGGTGCTGAGGATCGAACCCAGGTCCTCATGTGTGTGAGGCAAGCGCTCTACCACTGAGTTACAAACCCAGTCCCTTGTGTGGACAGTTTTAAGGATGAAGTTTCAAGTTAGAAGGACAGAAAGAGACCTTAGAGAGGGTGACAATTGTGTGCATGAGCAAACACTGGGTCCCCAAAATAATTGGTATAGAATGACTAGTATAAAATGAAAATGGTTGACTTTGGATACATATTATATTTTTGATGATCCACTGGAATGAGAAACTCATCTTTTTTTTTTTTTTTTTAAATAGATAGCTTTTTACAAGGCTTTACCTAAGCTGTTTGGTGGCTTGAAATCTTCAGGAGGGTTGATTTACAACTACAGATTAAAGCTCTCTGTGGCCTTGGTAAACTGTGGCTGTTTAATTGGGCTCTGGAGTCCTACGATCTGAGCTCTTCATTTCAGCTTCCCTAGGAACTCAAGCCGCTTCCTCCCAGATTCATGAAATTTCGTTTTATTTCTATGGTTCTCAGTGAACAACCGCCTGTCGGTCATTAACCTCTAAGCCGAGGGACTTCCCCTCTCTGACCAGTAGGAGGCGCATCGTGATTGCGCCTTCTTTGTTCACCCCAGCCCAGAAAATTCCTTTCCCGCTTTCTCAGGAAGCCATTCTTGGGAGGGTGACTCCATTTTAGAAGGAATCACCCGAAGAATGACTTCTTTCATTATTTTACATTTCTTATAACACAGTGATGCTTTAGCAAAGACCAAGGCTTTGCCAGAAAACCAAGCCGAGGACCCAAGCCTCCAACTGTGCTGCTCTAGTCAGGTATTTATCCCAGCTGGTTAGAACCCAGCTGTGCATTCCTTCACTTTTCCATTCTATGAATAAATGAGGCACCCCATTTTCTGAAATTGGGGAGGTTTGTGATTCAGAAATAATCTAATTTGCAAACTGATTAGAATTCTATTCTAATAATGGAAGCTGACCACACCCACTTGAGACTGGGCTCAGGCAATACTTTGCTGGTTTTCCATAAAGTAAACCAGACTCTGGGGAAATAGGCAAATGTTGTCAGCATTTTAATGTCAGCCTTATTCTTTCCTAAGGAGTGGGATTGAATAACGTTCTCAGGGAAAAATAGGATTTCTGGAATGAGACTGCACAATTTCCCCTTTGTATAAAGAAAGGAAAAATTAAAGACTGGGTGTATTTGATTCTTAGATAATTGAAGAGGATCCCCCCCACACACACACACACGCACATACACACACACACACACACACACACCCAGCTCTTGGTGCGGGCAGTAATTATGGGAAATGGGTGTACCATCAACACTCATCCTCTTGGGACATGCCCTGCTCCTCTCCAAGCAGAAGGGCAAAGACTGGGCAGAGGAGAAGTTCCATCGATGTCATGGTAGGGCCCCAAGTCTGCACTTGAGAGGTTCAAGAATGCACTGACAGGCAACCTCTTCCTTCAGTGCAGAGGGGCAGCCTCCCTCAAGGCAGACTGGAAGATGAACCTTTCTATCAAGAACTGCTAGAAAAGCCTGCAAAACATGCAAGATGTATTTGAAGGTGAGCTGCCAAGTGGTGAGGATTTAAGGGCCAAGACCCTGGGGAGAAGGGTTAGCAGAGCTTTCACTACGAGGCATTTGCCCACCTCAAGAGTCAGAGAAGCTTCCAGCAGAACAATTGGAGTTCAAGGCCACCTAAGAGGAAGAGCAAGTAATGACCTCAGGCTTTCAGCCGGGACTTTTCAAGTGCTGCACCAAAGGAGTGGGGGGTGAAAATAGAGATTTAAGCTACCATCAGCATAATGTTTGATTGGCTTAAGGCCAGGTTTTTCCTCCTTGGTGCTACTGCTAGTGACATCAGAGAACAGAAAATTCTGTTGTGAACTGTCCTTCACATTGTAGGATATTTAGCAGCATCCCTGGTCTCTAGCCACTAGATGCCACTAGCATATTCCCTTCCCCATGTTCTGACGACCAAAACCGTATTTAGACAGTGCCAACTGTCCCCTTTTTTTTTTTTTTGTTTATTTTTAAATTTTGAGTCAGGGTCTTGCTAAATTGCCCTGGCTGGCCTCAAACTTGTAATGCTCTCCTGCCTCAGCCTCTCAAGTGGCTGGGATTCCAGTTGTGTGCCAGGTGCCCACTAATCCCCTCTGGTTGAAAACCACTGGATTAATGACATCTGCCAGACTGTAAACTGCTTGTCAGAAGCAAGGCTAAATCTTTTCATCATTCGGATTCACAAATTCTATCTGTAATTTTCCCGGTGTGGTGTCTAGCACCTGATAAAATAACTTAAAATGCGTGACAACATGGACACAAATAAAAAGGGGAGTGGACAATAATAGTGGGAGATTTTAGGCCACTCTTTTCAGGAGCTGATAGAATAAGCAGGCAAAACAAACAAACAAACAAAAATCCCAGGGTTTGGGTGAAGGGTGAGCCGAGAAGAGGAGAGGCTGAGAAAAAGCGTAGGGCATCCGGTTTAGTTGCAGGAAAGGGGGTGAGGAGGAAGGGGGCAGAGAGGGCAGACAGGCAGAAACGGGGACAGAAGGATACGTTTGTGGGCACCCTCTTTCTGGAGGCCTTGTTCCAGGACCTCTCCATTAGGGACAGTGCAGGGGAATTGTGTGAGTGCCACATTTCTTTGGCTCCTGAGAGATCCTCTGTGAGATCCACCTGGACCTTGGGTACATGGTTTGATTTGGCAAAGACGAGTAAAGGCAGGCAAAGGGGTGGTGAGCACTCTCTGGTCCACTTGGGAGGGACCCTCCTAGAGAACTGCGGCACCTTCCTCCGTTGCCATGGCGACACCACCAGGCACCACCAGTCGTAGAGCATCTCATGGTCTGAGGACAGTTTCCAAATTGAGAGATGATAGGACTAATATTTGGTTCCTGTCTCTACTCTCTGCCTGATACTTTAGCCCAAAGTACTTCAGACACTATACAGGTGGAATGGACACCTACTATGTGGCAGACATTATTTCAGTTGTTGCAAAGAAATAGAGAGCATTAGTCCCGGATGTGGAGATGGATAAGACTTATCCTTTGTCTGCAAAGAGCACCCCTCTGTGGATGAAGGGGAGGGGTGGGTGAGTGGAATTAAACGATAAGCTGGTCATTCCAGTGGTTGCTGGGTACTGTGCGACAGATCATGATTGTCTAATAAGATGCAGATGTAATTGGGGCTTTAGGAGCAGTTCACAGGACTGGGGGGAGGTGGTGTGAGGAGAGATTGCAGAATTGAAAGAGGATCTTGTGGGAAACAGTTCTGATGAACAAAATCCTGTCAGGGAGAAAGTATGATATAGTCAGAAATTTTTTTTTTTTTTTTGGTGGTGCTAGGGATGAACCCAGGGCCTTGAGCATGCCAGGCCAGCACTCTTCCACTGAGCTGCATCCCCAGCCCATTTTATTTTACTCAGTGGTTATTGTTGAGTGCCTACTCTATGCCAGGCACTATGCTAGCAGCAGATGCTACTCCACTAGCAAGACTCCCTCCCCTCCCTCCCTCCCACAGATTGCTTAGGTTCTATCTAGTAGCACTGATGAAAAGGGAAGAGGTAA